TGCCCCATATCTTGAATTTTAGGGACATTCTAACTACGTTCTCTAGGCTCCATCACGCAGTGAGTGGTTGCCCTGCCTCATATTCGTCATCAATCAACTGTATGGAATGTTAGATGACCCACGTAGGTCTGGGGCGGGGCAAGTGCGTTAAATGCGTTAATAATTTTAACACGTTATTTTTCACCGTAATTAATCTAATTAACGCGTTAAATTACCAGCCCTACTTTTTTAGTCATTTTGTTATGTGCTTTTGTTATTTATATTAGATTTTTTTTTTATGTTTCTTTTTAGCTTTATTTTTATTTCAGTTTTAGCTTTAGTGATTCTAGTACTTAGTTCAGTTAGTTAATTTAAGTTTTTATTTTATTTTAATAGTTTTAGTAAATAAAAGATTATTACTCCATTCACAGAGAAAATCTGCACAGTACAAATACTGCGGAAATAGCAGCACATCAGTATTCCTAACATACTCTGTGTATGAGGAAAAATGAGGAAGGAAGCTAAAGGCACATCTGATTAAGCAATGAACAGTGTACAGACTTTTAGAAGAGCTTAGTGTCTTACTTGCGAGTCTCCACGTGTCTGGCGGTGGAGAGGAGAGAGGGGAACTGGGCATCACTGAAGATCTCCGGAGGCCCTTGAGTAGGGCCTCTCTTAGTAGAGGTTAACCGGGCCCCTGGGGGACGATACACGCCAGGTGCTTTGGGCTCAGGAACCTCAACTTCCTCTACTAACAGGAAAAGAGACAGATTAGTGTTAAAGAACTAATCTCAACTAATGTTGGCTATTTATACTAACACTGCCGACTCACCCGGAGCAGCTGAAGGGGGGCCGCTTGATTTATTCCAGGGTCCAGAGACTTTATCACCAGTGACTAGGATGATCTCACCATCCTCACCCACTTCCTCCTTCTCGTACTCTTCCTCTTCCTTCTCATCGCTGTCAGACAGTCAGACCAACATAAAATTGAGTACTTGAATAGAGATGTGCTGTAACATGCATGAATTCAGAGTGCTTTGAGATATTCAAATGTTAGCTGAAAAACAAGGTCAAACACGCTTTTTAAAACTACCGGGTGGGGGCACAGAAAGCACCAATGACATCATGAACTGGCAATAACTAGTTGTGTTTACCTGAACTCCAGTAATGAAACTACTGGGAATAATTTAAATCAGAAACTGCCATGTAAACAGAATAATATATGAGCAGTAGCATGAAATTCATTAGATGTCAACCTCATCTGCAGGGCCTGGAGTCTGAGCCCAGTGTAGTCCACCTCCTTCTGCTCAAAGTCCTTCCATTCCTCATCCTCCTAGAGTGACAGTTCGAGAAAAAGAGAGGTGACACTTATATAGATTTTAAATAACACGTTTTTGGACAGTACAAGAACCATGTCTATGCTACATATTTACTAGAGGTCTGCACGGGCTTTAAAGTGAAGCCCGAACCCGGCCCGTACCCGAGATCGTCTGACACGACCCCAGCGGCAGTTAAAGTTAGAGCCCGAACGCAAAATATTTTTTTCCCCCCACAACGAATAGCCAATTTTAAAAAATGCTGTATTTCACGATTGCATGCAACGGTCAGTAAACAAATACATGTAAAGAAACAGAATCATGATTAAGGCTCGGCCAGTTCACAAGGCAAAAGAAAAAACACTTACCAGTTATGAAAGTTTATGAACATCAGGTGCAGCGGTCACATAAATTCTGCCGAGTTTTTAAATGGTTGTATACGACAAGACGATAATTCTTCCATCGTGCAAATGATGGTCATTTTCGTCAGTTAAGGCTCGTTAGCATTCGGCCTGCTTTAAATCAGACACAGAGATGCATCGCATTAATTTGAATTAATTAATTATATCATTTATTTGAATTAGCACCCGCGCGAGAGAGAGAGATGAAAGTTGCGTGTGTGAACCTGCGTCTGCGCGTCTCTCTCTACAAGCAATGAGGCTTAGTTCCTTCAAAAACAGCGATTTTACCCCCTCATTGCAGAGAAATATAAAGTTGCGAGTCAGTAGCCTGTCGAAGCTATTTTACTAATAAAAGTTTCCGTGCTGTGTTGTCGTGTGCAATAATGTGTGTGCGTGCGTCTATGAAAGCAGCGTAGCCTGCATATAGTTATAGTTTAGCTATAAACCCGAGCCCGACCCGAACCCTAAGCTATTCATTAAACAGTAACCCGAACCCGACCCGAAACCTGAAAGTAGACCCGTCGGGCTCAGGTCGGGTAGCAGACCTCTAATATTTACTATATATTTCTGGAACTACAGTGGAGTCAGTCAAAGCATTCGGTTCCCAAGTGTACTGATTATAAAAGTAACTTATAAAGGAAGTCATGTAATGTATAAATGAAACCTCCGTAATGAACAGCAGAGAAGGCCGAAAGCATTTAATTTTCTGGATTTAATCGTAACTGTAAATCAAATGCATAGTTCTCGTCGCCAATGCAACTTCTAAACAGATCTTAGTAAGCGTAAAAAATAATAATAATAAAAGATATTTAGGTTTCAAACTCAATTTCTATTAGAGTTTTTTTTTTTTAAACAATCACTAGGATGCATTTCCTAAAACTTAAGTCGCTTTTTCAAAACTCTTCACACAGTTCTCCTAACCAACTTTCAGACAGCACAGCGGTTAGTTTCATACCCAAAATGTAATAAAACTACCAAAACACTTCATACATCAAGTCATTCTTCCATAAAACTGGCAAAGGTTGTTACCCAAAAACAATTTGTCACTCATAAAGCATTGACCTAAAAAACATTAACAGGAAGCAAAGTTTTCTTTTGTAAAAACTAGCTAAAACTAGCAAAAAAAATATCAATATCTAACCTGATGAAAAATGTTTATACAGTATCTCACAGAAGTGAGTACACCCCTCACATTTTTGTAAATATTTTATTATAATTTTTCATGTGACAACACTGAAGAAATTACACTTTGCTACAATGTAAAGTAGTGAGTGTACAGCTTGTATAACAGTGTAAATTTGCTGTCCCCTCAAAATAACTCAACACACAGCCATTAATGTCTAAACCACTGGCCACAAAAGTGAGTCAAATTTACACTGTTATACAAGCTGTACACTCACTACTTTACATTGTAGCAAAGTGTAATTTCTTCAGTGTTGTCACATGAAAAGATATAATAAAATATTTACAAAAATGTGAGGGGTGTACTCACTTCTGTGAGATACTGTATATCATGTGAAACAACATTGGGAATTTCAATAAAGGCACATTTGGCCATTAACTAAATGCATCATTATGCAAAAACATGAGCTGAGTTCTCCACATGAAAGACCCACAACTGATAGTACAACAAGCTACGTCTATTCTCTCCAATATGGTACAAAGAATTGAGTACCATAAAGTAAATAAACTGATGTGAAGAGTGTGTATATAAAATAGGGCTGTGCGATATGGACAAAAAAAACCTATCGCGATTTCTTTGAGCAATTTTGCGATTTCGATTTTAATCACGATTTTGACACACACAGACATGCTTTACAGTCATTAATGCATTCAGTGTGAATTTGAAACATATTTCCAAAAGAAAACTAATTAGAGCTTTATCAAAAAGCTGTAACATGTCTCTAGAACAGACATAAGGCAAAATAATCAAAGTAAAGGTGTAACAAAATGTCTCTAGAATAGACAAATGGCAGAAAAAAGAAAAAAAATCCCGTGTCCAAGGATTTTTTTTTGCCATGCATTGGTCATAGAGCTCTTTGTGGCGTTGCCTCAGATGTTGAACTAGATTTGTTGCGCCAAGTTAACATGTACTCCGTCTGCAGTGCGTATACAGTATACAGAGAGAGAGAGTGTGTGTGTGTGAGAGTGAGAGTGCGTGTGTGTGTGTGTGTGAGTGTGAGTGAGAGTGAGA